GTCAGCCTTTGCCAGGGGTTTCTTTTTTATTTTAGAAAGGATAAAGCTAAACATAACAAAACAGAACAAAGAAGATTAGAAGAAAACAATGTAAGTGACACAGAATTCAAAGCAAGACAATAGTAGATGTATAGTGGCTACCATAATGTCTCTTGTTTTCTTCTAAGTGGTTGTCTCTGTCTTCACACACAACAAATTCATACGGCAGAGGCTGTCCACATAGGTTTTTCTAAACTTTAGTCTATGCCCTGTGCTGGGAGAAGTTAAATGAGACCACATTGGGCTTAATCACCAGGAAGACCAGTGGAGGGTTCTCTTAAGTCCTATTGTTCCTCTTCCAGGAATCTAGCATTTCTTGAGAGAGGCACGTGAGCAGTGCATGGCGAACAGCACAGCTGCTCCCACACTCGGAGGGTTCTGAATTGCAGGCACAGTACCGGATTGTACCTCTGGCAAATGTATTTCCTGTTGCTTTGAAAACAGCTCACAGTGAGCTCCATTCCCCTAGCTTGCATACATTTACAGTAATCTTTCTCTTATTAAAACACTGGATTTTACTCCTGTCTTGAGGAGACTATGTGCTTTGATAGGAAACAAACTTTAGATTATGGAATGCTAAGACTACTACACTCATCCTATGACTGTTGTAACCTTTCAACTGGGGTGAACATGTACAGAGACCACCTGTCTCAGGCCCTGCAATTTGCTGGTAGCCAGTGGTAAAGGTTTTTTTGTTTTATTTTTTATTTTATTTTATGGCCGTGCCTAGCTGTAACTCAGGGCCTCACCCAGGACAAGCAGAAGCTCTACCACGGAGCTATGCTCCCTAGCCAGAGAGATTTCCTAAAAAATCAGCTTCTCACATGCATTAATTCCTAACCTTGCCTTTGAAATATTTGAAAGATACATTTTGAGAGTAATGCTTTGTGTGGCTTTAGAAGGAGTCTCTCTTTTGAAACTTCAGACGGTGGAAATTACCTTCTGCCGCAATGGAACATTCCCTGTGCCATCGTCACCACCGCGTGTTAATTTTCCTGCAACCCAGAAGCAGAGCTGCGTGAAGCATATGTTTGTTAGAGACACTGCCTGTTATGGGAGAGGGTAGCCACGGTTCTTCCAGGCAGCCTGAATGGTCACAAGAGTGTTCATTGTTAGTGTGTGTCCAAAGGATGTGAGTGCGATGTGCAGGAATTGTGCTTCGGGAATACTCTGGCTTTCAGTCTCAAGGTGGCAAAGAGACTAGAAAGGGTCAGATCAGTCTGGTAGTATCCTGTGGCCTTTAATTGTGGAGATCCCGCAGCTTTGTTTTGGGGATCCTTAAAAGCATCGAGGAAGCGAATGTTTTAAAATGGGGGTGGACTGGAGATTTAGTTCAGCAGCATTAGCACCTGCCTGGCAAGTGCAAGGTTGTGAGTTCGAACCCCAGTACCAAAAAAAAAAAAAAAAAAAAAAAAAAGACAGGATTGCCAGGTGTGCTGGCAGGCAGATGCAAACCCAGCCACATGGTAAGCTGAGGCAGGAGAGAGCTTGAGCCCAAGAGTTTGCAGTCAGCCTGGGCAACAGCTAAACCTTGTCTCTGAAAAATAAAGACATGAAATAAAAGGACATGGTCAACATGGGGAGATAAGAAATTTAGGTTTTAAAATCCTCCGTAAGGATAGTTTTGGACATGCAAGTTGTGTTGTTAGATGTTCCTCAGTGCCTCAAAGGCCTCTGGGTAGCAGTCCTCTCTGTGCAGAAGCCCCAAGTTCTACACAAGCGCTTTGCTGACCTTTGATACCTGCAGATACCAAGGCTGGAGAACAGAGAGGACAGGTGTGAAAATAGTGGTCAACACAGCAGAAGATGTTTTCCCAAAAACAGAGAGCACTCCTTACCCCGGGAAATTGTGTGATGACATTAGAGGTTGATGAGCCAAGGAAATTTGAATGTAACCGTGATACCTCACATTAGCAATCATTGCATAGTACAAGTTGGTGTTCACTGTTAACCACTTCTGACAGCTGACTACCTTAGAGTCCATGAATTGCTAGGGATTCCTCAAAAGCAAACAATATAGCGAAACATTTCATGGTTTTAAAAAAAGTGGACATTTTGTTGTTATTTTCCACTGTGGCAATTTCACGTGAAAGAGCTGGGTGTGCTGGGTAGGCCTGTAATCCCAGCACTCAGGAGGCTGAGGCAGGAGGATTGCCAATTTGAGCCCAGTGGCCCAGTGTGGGCAACTTAATGACTTAGCAAGAGAACCCAGTCTCACAACAGTAATCAGAAGGTTTGGTTACATATGTACCTGAGCAAGAAGGCCCTGGTTTCTGTCCTCAGGACCACAAAGAATAAAAAAAAAAATAGTAATACTTGCTTCTTTTCAGTGAATGTTATGGTTCTTTGCTTGGGGTCCTCCTCCTTGCTTTGAGCGACACTAATCAGAAAGATTTTCATCCATGTTTAAATAGCAATAGTCAGGGTTTGCTCAAGGATGATCAAAGAACATCTGAAGGTATGATTAGGTTTTAGTTTAGGGGTGCAGGAGCATCCTCTATGGCTTAGGGGTGGAGGAGAAAGGAAGAATCTTCACTCTGGCTGTGATACAGTCTTCTGTTATTTCTGTGAAGCAGGAGGACCCCTGGGCCTGATAACTCCAGTGCCTTTCCATGGGCCACAGAGAGGGGGTACAGTGAGCAGAACTTGAGGCACATTGGAAAGAGGATTGCTGCCACCTTCCCAGAAAGCCCTCTGAGGAGGACCTCAGGAAGACTCCCCACACTGGGCCTGCACATTGCTATTGCTATCGATGTGCTCTGCCCTGCCTGGCAACTTGCCTCGCCCCACCTCACATGTGCATGTAAGCCCAGATCCACAGCAAGGACGGGGTGACCCATAGCAGAGGAGACAATGTGTGGGTCAGGCTAAAAACACCATGGGTATCTGGCAAACTTTTGTGAGGTGCATAGGCCTAGGAACAGTGCTTCAAAGATGTCACCTCCAGGAAAGGGATCTTCCCTGCCATTCTTTTTAAAGGATATTGCCTTAGAAATTCCTGCTCATAGGTCATTGTATGCACAAAAACAATAATGCTAATAAGGAAAGGAAAGGAAAAGAAAAACAAAATGAACAAGCAAACTAAAAACAAGATAGTGTGCTGGGGATTTAGCTCAGCAGCATAAGCGGCTGCCTTGCAGGCATGCAGTTGTGAGTTCGATCCCCAGTACCAAAAAAACAAAACAAAACCCAAGAGTTAGGATATAGCAGAAAATGCCCTCTAGCCAGTGTTAGTTTCCCACATAATAGTTCCTATTACAAGTTCCTAGTACTACTGTCGCCTAGAAAAGGCTGATCACTGTGATGCACATTGTAAGAACTAATCACAAGAGCTGGGGATTTAGCTCAGTGGTATAAGCACCTCCCTTGCAAGTGCGTGGTCTTAGTTTGATCCCCGGTACCGATAAAAAAAAAAAAAGAACAAATCAAAGCCAGCCAAGTACTCTACCTCTGCCTCCCTTTTGCAATTCCATAAAAACGTGCCTTCCTGGGCCTTTGAGGCCTGACACTTTGAGGGACAACTGATTCCCTATCAGTACCCATCTATGTAAAATAAATCTGCCTCCAAATCCTGGGTGTAGTTTCAGTGTTTCTGTTGCCCTAGCAAAGGCAGTTATACTACTAGTTTCTCTTAGTTCATTAAAAAGAAAGTTTTGTGCTAATGTTGTTCGGACAGTTTTACATGCCTGTATCTTGTACTCTGAGTAAACAGTTTGAAGATAACAATATGCAATGTATTAATTATTGTTATTCTCCTATTATATTTTTTGAGTTTTATGTATTTATTTATTCATTGGTAGTATCAGAGATCAAACTCATGACCTTGCACTTGCCAGGCAGGCACTTATGCCACTGAGCTAAATTCCCAGCCCCAGTTTTGTTTTATTTTTTCCATAAAATAAAAAAGAGAAAAAACTGAACCTATAGCAATGTAGGAATACTTGTAATAGTAGAAGGATGAACCAAGCTATAGGAATAGAAATCAGCTTCTGGCTACCAAGAGGCAGAGATAGAGTGATGCAGACTTTGAAAGTGGCACAAAAAGTATTTTGGGAAGTGGACTGAGGTTAGGCAGTTATTTTGTGAAACCTTGCCAAATTATACACATCAAATTTGTATCTTTTAGTGTATGTAAACTATACTGTGATAAAAACTGACTTAAAAACCAAAAAACAAAAGAATTTGATAGTTAGTGAAAAATAAAGAATTCATGATCTACCAAAAGGAAAAACTAAAACCAATCTACAGGAACAAATATACCAAAGAAAGCAAAAGGGGGTGCAGACTTTGTTAGGGTTATTTAATTCATGTATCAAGTATCTGGGGAACTGCTTTTGATGTCACATTATGCCCAAGCTGAATATGGCAGAGTAAAACTTTGGAATAACTGCCTTGAAGAACTTAGCTTACAAAAGGAGGGTTGCAGAGGTTGCAACAGAGTCCCATTCCAGGCCAGCTGAGAAAGGCAGGTGGCAAACGAAGGCTCAGGCACAGGAGGCATGGGTGACAGTGGCTCCAGAAGAACCTACCTGCAGTTAGGCTTCAGAACGGGGTGGCATTATAGAGTGCACTGGAGGTGACATCCACAGGTGGCCCAAGACACTGGGGGACAAATTTCTGGACAGTGCTGGCTCTGACATCACCTCTGCTTGACCTACAGTTACTTAAACCAAATCTTCAATCAGATGGAAAAAGGCATTGGTTTGGTAACAAAAAGATAACTGCATGATAAAAGCGCTCCGTGACATGCAATCCTATGCCTCTGAGGACTGTGGGCGCAGCTAGGAGAAGCCCCTTCCTTGCAAGTCAATTTTCCGAGGGAAATTAACATTGCACGCCCCTTCCTTCAGCTTAGTTGTGGACTTTGTCTTTGTCCTCCCATCTTTCTTATTCTTTTGAGTTTTTGCCCCACTCTTGGACATAAGTATCGCTGACAAAACTGTCTGTCCCTGCTGTTTCAGGTATGCTTGGAAAAGGATGCTGAAAAGCTTGCCTCCTTGACAGCTGCCAATCAGTGTACAGCTGCCTCCACTCCCACCTCATTCCAGATACAGGAAGCCAAGCAAGGGATAAGGTGGGCACTACTTAAAACTCTCACTGAGGGGAACAGCTTCTATTAAAAAACCCTTCTTCTGTCTGGAGTAACAGGTGGAGCAGGGTGGCTTTTAAAACTGGCTTTCTTAAGGGTGTCTTGGGGCCCTGAGTTAAACAGTTTTGAAGAGGATGGTTTGGTAATGGGCAAGCACTTGTGGCTTGCCCTGCTGAGACAGAGATGTGGATGCTTCCCCACCTGACTGATTTGGTGTTTCAGTTTACGGAGTCAAGGAAAGTTTAGCTGAACCAGGTCGGAAGTCACTAAAACCACCAGCAAATGTGCATCTCCTTCCCTTCCCTGTGCTCACATGTGCACTGTTGAGGAAAGCTAATAAACATCTAGGAGTGTATGGTGCTTCAGTGTTCTCAGTACTACTCATGGCCATGTATACTCTCCAATGCCAGCCAATACTTTGATCCCAAAACCTGCAATCAGTATCACTGCCGGACCAATGAAAAGTATCTAAAGCACACGGTATCTAAAGAATCTGATCTGGATCATGATCCTCTACTCTGCTCCACCAAACAAGTTTCACAAAAGCCAGTATTGAAAAATCCTACTACCAAAATCTGAAAATCCTTGGAAGTTGGAAACACTTTGAAAGAATATGCTCTCACACAACTCAATTTGTGCCATACCTTCAAGCTGTATATTTGAGAGTACTCGATTTACCTTTAACCTTATTGTACCCAGGCTCAGCAGATCTGTATTTTAGATTGGTGTTTGTTCCCGTTTTAGCAGTCTGTAGATGTTTTCCCCAGCATCCACCTTAACAGTGAGGATCTGAGCAATGTTTGCTATTTTCTGACACACCACACCCACCAGAGAATTGAAGGTGAGAGCTTTAGGCCAGACTCAAAAAATCGACAGCAAACAGCTCTTGGACTTCTAAACTATCTCCTCCCTACCCTACAGGCAACATAAGAATCAATCAGTAAATAAGAGAGCATGTGCCTTGTGTGTGAATGATTCATTTCCTTTCTCAAATGCCTATACCTTTATACATTTATTCATTTAGCTGCATCTTTACATGGTTTAAATATTTTTAATAATTGAAGAGCTGAACTCTCGCATCATGTAGGTCATGACTTCAGGCTTCCTGGGGCAGACTGAACCCAATACGACTCCCCAGAGAAGTGTCCCCCCGCAAAAAAAAAAACACATCACTGTTAGAAAGAGATAAACTGTACTTATATTTAATTTGGTAAAAGGAATCAGAGTAGCAATCTGGTTCTTTAAGTTTTTTCCATTAGTAAGTCATGTCGCTTTTGGTACTGACAAATTTCCATATGCTGGGGTTTACTAATCCCATCCCTGCTTTCTAAAACCTCCAAATTCAAAACTTATTTAACAAAGGTGCTAAAGGTAATGAGAACACAGCAGCCAGAGAGTGACCAGGAGGAAAGCATGGATGTTCTGCAGCTTTCCAGGTGAATCCTTGTCTAGAGTGGTTTTTCCGAAGAATCCTTGTCAAGGCTACTAACGGACACTGAGGCTTCAATAACACACGTGGGTATTGAAATCTCCTTTCTGAGGGGCAGAAAACAGTAAGTGTTTGGCCAGTGTGGAAGTTTAGGTGACAGGAAACATCTGGACGCACAGGTGATGCGTCTAAGTTCCCCCTGCCCTGCTTCTCTGCCCATTTTCTGTACTACCTGCTTACATGCTTATGTCAGGGATGAGGTTTCTTCATGTGCAGAGTTTAAGGAGGTACTAAAAGAGAGCCTTGGGTTTTAAGATTACTTTTTCTTCCAGTATTGAGGGTTGAGTCTGGGACTCAGCCATACCAGGCAAAGGCTCTAACACTGGGCAATGCCACTAGGCAGCCCTTTTCAAAATCTGAGACAAGGTATCAATAAATTACAAAAGCTGGCCTTAATATTGGGGTCCTTCTGCCTCAACCTAGAGAAGTACAAGGATTATAGGGGTGTGTCACTATATTCAGCAAGGTGAATACTTTTTAATGCAGTATGATTATCATTATTTTTTTTATTAGTGATTCAGTGTTTTGCTGTGTACTTCAGGCAGGCCTTGAACTCAGTATATAGTACAAATTGGCTGTGATCATGTGAGGATCCTCCTGCTTCAGCCTCCAGAAGAACTAGGATTTATACATGTGTGCCACTATAGTCAGCGAGATGAATATTTTTTAATGTAGCATTTATTTTTGGTTCAAGGTTTTTTTTTATGTATTTCAGGCAGGCCTTGAACTCAGTAGAGTATCTAGCACATGCTGGCCTTGAATACATGGGGATTCTCATGCCTCAACCTTGAGTGTTGGGATTGTAGAGATTTGGCACCACAGTGAGAAAAAAAACTTCTATGATGATGAAATCATCAGAATTTTAAAGAAAGGCAAAATGTGATCCTGTATGCCTCATTCTCCTCACCCTGATGTCAATCCTGACTCCAAAAAATGTTGGGTCCATTGGGTGTGGTGGCCCACACCTGTAATGCCAGCTACTCAGGATGCTGAGGAAGGAGGATGGCAAGCTTTAGGTCAGCATGGGTAACTCAGAGGGGCACGATGTGGAGAAATAAAAATAAAAAGGCCTGAGGTAGAGCACCCCTGGGTTTAATCCTTACTATAGAAAATAAGAGATGTCTCCTAATGATATTTAAAAACTGGGTGTGTGGCTATCTTCTCATTTGATTCACTTACTCTAGTGGTAGTGAACCTTTGGCACACATGCTTCATAAGGCTGTCTGAATCAGTGAAAGCTCTAGAAGATTGGGCACTGCTGATTTATACACTGCTGGAAAATATTGACCTTGATGCCCAGCAGGCATCATCCCCACCCTGGTACAGGCACTGGGCTTTTCACCCTGGAGCACAGGGGCAGGTCTGGGAGACACCAAAGCTTCTCCAGGAGGAAGGAGATCCTGTCCTGGGGACCCAGGGGCCTCTAGGGCCAGCTGCTCACCTTGCAAACACATCTGGGTACTGAGCTCGCTGGAAGATGCGCTCCACTTGCTGCAGCTGCAGCCTGCTGGACACATCATAGAAGAGGCAAGGCTCTCCCAGTTGCTGCTGCCCTGGCTCCTGCTCATAGCCCCGGTCCTCCTTGCTGGGCCAGGCATCTCCTGCATCCAAGCAGAGCCCTTCTCCTGCTGTTGCTTCCTGCTCAGGAATGTTCTCCAGGTTCTTCTTAGTGTCTTTCTCCTCCTCTTCTCTAGGGACAACGAGGGAGGTCACCACTGGCTCCACATCTGGAAAGAAGAAACTCAGAGGGAAGGGGATGGAGTGAAGAGGGAGAAAGGGAAGGCAAGGGAAGAGGGGAAGAGATGGGGAGGTGCGCAAGGGAGAGGCAGGAATAGGGAAAAGGTGCAGAGAGCTCAGGAGAGCAGAGGGAACAGAGAGGGAGAGGAGGAAGGGGGAGATGTGAGGGCAGGGATGGAAGACAGGAAGAGGAAAGGGGACAGAGGCAGGGGACAGGGAAGACAGGAAAGGGGAGGGAGATGCAGAGGGTGACAAATTGGGAGAGAGTTGGGAGGGAGTAAAGGTGGGGAAATAGATGGGGAGGGGAAACACAGATGGAAAATGGGGGAGAAGGGAGATAGGGGAGAGGAGAGAGAGAGAGAGAGAAATCAGGCAGCTATCTGGGCTTTCAAGTAAGGGGTGTGAGGAAATGACCAGCAGTCCTGTCAAGCACATTGTAATATCACAGGTACGGGCAGCCTAGGCAAAGAATTCCAAGAACTCTAAGAGAGCAGCACCTAAAGAAACTCACTAGTTTCACCCAAGAACAGATGGGCAGACTACCACAGATGGAGCCACAGGTAAGATGGGAGGAGAGTGCACCACAAACTACATGAAGAGAGGCACCTGTCAGCTGCAAACCAGGCAAGATCTCCAAGGAAAGGCCAAGCTGCTCCTGAGCCAGTACTCTACCTCAAGGGTCACAGACCCTGCAGATGTCCTTCTGAAGGGAATGCTCTCCCAGCCTGCCTCAAATTGGTCCAGACCCTCTGTTCAGTGAGTGAACTTCCTGGATTTAGTCTCATGCACCTATGAGTAACCAGTACTGGGCCTCACACCTGTTTGTGTGTGTGCTTTATAGTATTTGATGTGTGAGTAAATCGTGTAAAGACTTGAGCTGTTGTCTGATCTGTTCCTGTCCCTTACTCTTCTGTAAGGTGCCACAGAGAGAGAGAAGGGACCAAGGAGAGCCACCCAAGGAGCCAGAGCTTGGCAGGCTGAGGAGATAGTAGGACACTGGCCTTCCACCCACTGGTCCTCCGAGAGTTTGTTTTCTGGGACTTCACTCCATAGTGTGTATCCCAGGCCAAGCACTGACCCTGAAGTTTACCACTCTCCTGATTTTCCTTGTCTTCATTGTCAGGGCCAGGAGCTGCCAGGCTTGTTACACAGTCCCCTTCTCCTTTCAAGGCTCTCTGCTCAGGGACTTTCTTCCCATCATCCCCTCTGGATCCAACCACAGAGGTCACTCCTGGTTTCTCATCTGGAAAAGACGGAAACCAGAGAAAGGAAGAGGAGGCAAAGGAAGGGGAAGAAAGGCAGAGGAGGAAGAGAGAGGGGAACGGGGAAGAGGGAGCAGGGAGATGGAGGATGAGGAGAGGACATTGGAAGGGGGAGACAGGCAGGGAAAAGGGGGATGGGGGCACAATGGAAGATAGGAAGGGAAGGAGGGAGGCCAGGGAGGTGGGGAAGGAACGGGAATATATGGGAGGCCAAGAGCAGAGAGGAAAAGAGGCAGGAAAGTGGAAGGAAAGGGAGGGCAGCTGAGAGTGTGGGGCAAGGGGGGCAGGGGAGACGAGATAGGAAGAGAGAGAGGGAGGACAGAGGGAGGCCAGAGGAGAGAGGGATAGAAATCAGCACCTGGGGTCATTCAAGCCCAGGGCAGGGGCAGAAAAAGCAAGGGGTTGCCGCCCCGGGAGCCTCAGTGTTGGCACAGGCCAGCGGCAGGAGTGGCTATGGCACAGCGGCCTCTCATTCACAGGCCTCTCTGAGAAAAGTTTTGTTTTCCTGTGCCGTATCTGGCCACAGCCGTACCAACTAGGTACTGACCCTGCACTTCCCTGCGGAGCTTCAGGACTCCCAGGCTCTGGGGAGCCACATCCTTCTGGCTGAGTTTTGGGCCTTCCATGTCTGGAGCGCCCTTCAGTCAGCTCTTTAGTCAGCCGTTGAGGCAGCTGTGCGCATGCGCAGTCCCTGCTCCTGCGCTGTTTTTCGCGCCTAGTGTGGGCCACAGAGGTTCCAGTATCCTGTCCTCTGTCCAGGGTTCCAGCCCGGGGTCGCACCACTCAGCGTGGTGGTGGTGGCGAGGGCTGTGCACTGGAGCAGCCAGGAAGTGGCCCCCAAACAGCAAAGAAGATGGAAGGCTGTCCCCCAGAACACTGCTGGGCAGTGAGGAACAGTGGGGCAAATGGGGGACACACTTTCTGCCCAGGGAGTTCCTTCTCAAAGGGGCAAGTGAAGTAATCGCCCCGAGGAGGGGGCACAGCTGGATGTGTGAATACGCGGGCAGGGGGAGCAGACTTCGCCCTAGTCCCAGGGACCCTGGGGAACTGTTCCGTTTCCACCCCCCACCTTATGCCACCCAGCCCTTGAGGCCAACGGCCAGCTCTGGGCACAGGGAAGACAGAGGTGGGGCTACAGCACTTGGAGAGCAGAGCAGCGCTAGAGCAGCGGAACTGACCCTGTGCCCTGCTCCGTGCTGGCTCTGGGCAGGCAGCAGGTTTCCCTCAGGGAAGGTGGCAGCTAGAGGGTGGGACTCTCCAGGTCCATTCCCTTCTGTCCCTAAATTAGGCTGATAAAGGGAACTACAGGTTCCCAGACTCCTTGCTGAGATTTGCCAGCCAAGCCCTGAAAGCTGAGTGCCTCCTGCTCCCCAAGGCGGGGGAGGGGGGGCAGCGCTTGGGGTTGTGTTTGCAGAGCAAGCTGCAGGTGCGTGAGAAATGAATTTACTTCAAGACCGAAAAATGAGATTAGATTCCAGAGGCTTGAAAGCAGGGTTGAATCCACACTCTTGGAAGAGGGGAGATTGCACACAGGGACAGGGAGCTCCACTTTCAAAGCTGTGTGTTTTTATTCCTAACTTGTGGGCGTCCCTCCCTGCACCTCTCCTGGGCTGGGATCTGGGGTTCACAGTCTATCTCCAGCAATCTATTTCATCCCATATCTGTTGTGCCCTGCCCACCACTTTCCCTTATCTTTTTCTCCCCCTGTGTTTCTCTTTCCACTTACTTTTTAGCCTTTTGGCTTCCTGGATTCCAGAAGACTTGTTTTGCAATGACCTCTTTATCTCAGAACCTTATCATGACCTGGTGTGAGTCATCTGTACAGCCTGTGGGGCCTTGTCGACCATTGCCTCTGCTAAGTCTAAGAACAAGGGGCTATTAGAGTGTTTAATGAAATATGGACTAATCATACATATTTTCAGGCCTAGCATGGTGGCACATGCCTGTAATCCCAGCCCTTAGGAGGCTGAGGCAGGAGGATCATTGCAAGTTTGAGACCAGCCTGGGCTGCATAGAGAGTTCAAGGCCAGACTGAACTGTCTAGTGAGACTGTCTTACAAAGACCAACAAAGTAAAGCAAAAAAACAAAACAAAACAAAACAAAAAGCCCCCCCCCCCAAAAAAAACCCCAAAAACCAAACATATTTTCACCTCTTACTAGATGCAAGCCCGAGGAAACCCCTTGGAAAGCACCAGTGGACCTGGTCTACTGCAGCTCAGAGCAAGTAGAAGCCTGCTATATGCACCCATGGCTCTGGACACCAAAGTGCCCTCCCTGTCTGTGTCTCTGGCCCCAGGTGGCGCGCTGTGGCCTGCTCAGCTCTGCTCTGCTGCAGCCCCCCTGACTGTGGGTGCCCTGCACAAGCCCTTAGTTCCCTGTGCTCCCTGTGGGGCCTGTACTGGCACATGGGCTCCTGGTGCCCTTCCCCTCTTCTGCTCTCCCTCTTCTCCCCTCCTCTTCCTCTTCAGTTCCTTTCCTCTGCTACCCTTGCTCTTTAGTCGTCTTCCCAACTCTGGCTTCCCACCAAAAAATGTTGAATAAGAAGAGCCACGGCTGGCTCTGTTCAAGAGGTGTTTTGCAGGTACCCCAGGCCTATGGGGCCCCAAATCTTCAGAAGAGCCCTTCCTGATGGACTCTGTACCTGACAGTGTATATCCTTTATCCTATTTTTACTCTTCTAACCACTATGTTATCAGACACATCTTATAGAATAAACTAACCCACTGAATGTGGTAACACATGCCTGGGCATGTGACTTCAGCTACCTGGGAGGCTGGGGTGGGAGGATACCATGCTGAAGGCCAACCTGGGCACTTTAGATAAATATTGTCTAAGAATGAAGTTTCATATAGGGGCTGGGGAATAGTTTGGTGGAAGAATTTTTCCCAGCATACCTGTGGCCTTGGTCTCAATTTGCAGCACAGAAGGAAAAACAGGAAAAGGAAAAAAAATTACTTTTATTTAGTTTTTATTTTGAGGAGAATAAAACCAAATGTGACAAAACAAAATAGAGTCAGTTAAAACAAAAGGATGGACATAGTATAGTACATGATGTAAAAACAGAATACAAGGTGATCAACAGTGATTATCATAATGCCTCTTTTTTTTTGATTTTTTTTTATTTAAAGAAAAGGAAACAAAAAAAATACATGGAAATTTAAAAAAAAGGGTAGAAATAATTCTAAATTACAGACAAACAAAAGGTAAGAAATTGCCAGTTGATAAGTTACAAATTGTCATCTTCGAAATGGCTGTTCAGGTTATAGAATTAAAGTATATAGAATGACATTCAAAAAAAAACGACCCTACAAACCATTCTGCTCTATGGCCGAACAAAAGCTCTGTAATATGATTATCAGTCCCACCTATTTGTTTTACATCTCTAAGAGGATAAGGTTAACCATATCAAAAGAGAACATAACATTTAAAAAAAAATAAAAAAACAATTTAAAGAAATACAGATTTCAAAGCAAGTCCACTGGAGATCTACCTTATCTATCTAGCTTCTTACAAATAGTTGTCCCTAACTTCACCCACTTTCTATACTTATTGCATATTATAGAACTAATCAAATCATTACAGGATGATGGAGTCTTTTTAGGTCCTCAAGTTCCAAATTAGGGAAGACAATACCAACTACCATCGCATCTCTCATTCTCTTTGTGATAGCCGTCCCCATCTCTGCATATGCTGAAGTTGAGCTGAAGAAACCAGTCCAGAGTCATTTTAATCAGCAAGCAATAGATTGCTAGAATTTATATTATAATGCTACAAAATAAGCCTCGGGTTTTTCAGGTTTCTTCCTCAGAGTATTTGTTCCTATCCTCTCTGTATTATAGGGAAAACCAAGTCATAACAAGACAACGAAACAATTTCCTAGATAATCATGCAATGGATAGGACTTATAAAACTATAATATAAATGATCTTCCGTAGCTACTATGTTTTCTCTTGTTATTTTCAATAGATTTGTCGACAACACTGGCTTATTATAGTTAAACATACTATCACCTATTTTTATAAAAACTTATCTTTGACTGCATTGTAGTATTTGAGAGCTGTTACTGATTCATACCAGTATGGATATCCTTTACATCTTGTCATGCTCAGAGTAGTTTCCTCTACTTTTAGGGTTGATTCTAACACGCATACCGATTTCTAATAGGATCAGTCAAGGCCAACCAATAGTCTTATGATTCAGATACAATTAAGATCAGTCATAGTAAGACAATGTAAGTAATACAGAATTTCAGCCTAAGTCAATAGGAAAGTAAGGATAGTTGCCGTGGTATAACCTGCTATTTTTGGTTCTAGAGGTCTGTGTCCTCAAATCTGATATGAGTGGACAGACCAGAACAAATTTAATTCAATCTAAATATGTCACTAGGACTACTGTGTCTTTTAAATCGTTATACACCATTAGCAATGACCTCTGCTTTTTTTTTTTTTAAATATAGTTTCAGAGCTGTCTCTACTAAAGACTAGCTTACCGTCTCTGCCTCATGTCTGCTACTCCACTTTTCTGCTGTAATTTGTCCACCTTATTCCCTCATTCCATGGTCTGCCCCGTTCACTGAGGCTTCTCTGCCACTGTAGCTGTAATCCTGATATCTCTTCCTCTCTTTCTCTGTAATGTCCTTCAGCGCTCTCTGTAGGGTTGGATTGGTGGCCACGAACTCCCACAGTTCCTCCTTGTCTTGAAAGTATCTTATTTCTTCATTAATTTTTAGAGAGAGTTTTGACGGATATATGAACTTAGGTTGCATATTTTTTTCCTTCAGGACTTGGAATATTTCTCCCCACTCCCTTCTTGACTTACGAGTTTGTGATGATAAGTCTGCTGTTATTTTGATAGATTTCCCGTTATAGGTAACCTGCATCCTTTCTCTGGCTGCTTTTAATATTCTGTTTTTTTGGTGGATTTCTGGGATCTCGATTATTATATGCCTAGGCGTAGATCTGTTTTGGTTGTAGGTAGCTGGCGTTCTGTATGCTTCTTTTATCTGGATATCATTTCTTTTTGCTATACGTGGGAAATTTTGCTTTAATATCTCTGTGAATATTTTTTGTATTTCATTTTTGGATGTTCCTGCTTCCTCACTCACATTCTTTATCCTTAGGTTATGTATCTTTTTATCATCTTCCAGTTTTAGAATTGCTTCTTTCTGGTTCCTTGTTATTTTTAAGAGGCTTTTTCTTTCACGTTCATACGCCCTAAATCTCTCTTCAAGTTTCAGAAGGTTGTCTTTAGTTTCTGTCAAGGCATTTTGCCAATATTCAATGGAGTTCTGAGTTTCCTGATATTCTCTTTGGATCTGTTTCATGTATTCTAAGTTATGCTTAAATTCTTCTTCAGATGCTTCTCTTTCTTTTCTGATTTCCTCAGTTCTTCCATCTGTGTTCTCTTGGGCGGGGCTTGTCATTTCTTTAATTAATCTCTTTATATCTTGCCTCACTTGGATCAGGAGTACATCTTTAAATTCCTCTATGAGATCATGTAAGTACTTTTTAATTTCGGCTGATGCTGTGTCGAGTAGAGGATGGTTACTGTGCTTGTTCTCTTCAGTGTTTAGTTCTCTTGGGTTTAATTTCTCCTGTTGAACAGCTGGAGTTTTTTTTTTATTTTTATCTCTTGTCATGTTTCTGGTTTCTTTCAGACTGTCCTGGAGTTCTCTGGCCCTCTCCGAATTGCTTAGGGCCTTTCA